ACTCTGAACCACTGAATCCTGTTTTGGAGGGCCCTTAAGTGAGCACATCAGCTCCTAGAGAGGGCAAAGAAGATGTGTTTTAATAATGCACTTGGTAAAATCGGGGAGGGTAGCCTCTGTTTGTTAGAGATCATACACCCACCCTGTCATTCTCCTCTTCCTCAGATGTTCCATTTTCCCTCAATCCACTACAACAACTGCTTACACTGGATGATGAACGTGAGAGTGGCTGCATCACACAGTATCCTGAAGTCTGACTCCTGAGCATTCTGTGAAATGCAAGCATTCAACATCATCATGCTTATTGTTGCACGCAGACTGAATTTTTTGAGGCATAGCTTTATTACATAGCAGTCAGAAACAGTAAGAATATATTATTCATCCACAGCTAGTTTTTCCACCTAGGAACAGAATTCAGGTGAACTGGCATGCATACCTTAATTTCTAGTTGCTACATCATTCAGGAGAAACACCAATTCTGTCTCCATTCTGGATAACTGTGTGGAAGGACAAGTCTGAATGAATTTTTAAGTCACAGACCTAAGTGTAATAAAGCAGAGTGACTCAAACCACCTGCAATTAAGTATTAAATATATCTAGACATTCATTAAAACCAACAGATTTTAATTTGGAGACCAGAGATTTTAAGAGCCTAAATACAGGATGAAGAGATGTTAAACTCAGTATAAAGGGCAGGTGCAACCCAGTCTGGGCCGCCCATTCCCACAGCCACTCTCACACTATCATGTTTTGTCTTACCTGAAATTCCAGACAGAACAAAGGGACCATAAAAAGCATACTTTGCATGTCATAGAGCTTATAAATTGTTACTGCTGTTTTCTGTACAGGTAGGTGTAGCAGGAGGAGGCAGGAAAGCAGACAGACATTAACTAGTATTACAGAACAGTTAACTAAGAAAGTTTAAGGAAGCAATAGGGAGGTAGAAACACATTACTGAGCTCTGCATTATTGCAGGATGTCTCAGTGTCAAACTATGTAGGATCAAGTGCCAAGCTCTTGCATGGACACGTCAGAGCCTTCCTCCTGCTTACGGACAGGAACACACCTAGGTCAGGATCCCCATCCTGGTGATTTTCCATATGCCCAGTTGCCAATAAACTGACTCCTGTAGGTCTGTCCCACTAAAATTTAGCTCCCACAAGGCCATTCAAAGGGGACATTCAAAGCAAACTGTACTGGATCCTTTTACCACCACTCTATCAAATGGAACAGACACTGAGGTAGCCTGGTGCATGTCTCAGATCTATCAAAGAAGACCCTTAAGGTCAGCTCTTCCCAGCTGAGAATTTGGGATCCACTGCTTAGAGTCATTCAGGAGATATAGTCATTCAGTCCATGAGGCTCACACGTTTACATAGTAGAAGGTGCACTGTGCATGTAAGCCCCAAATTTATGGTGAAATGCTGTCTGCATAAGAGACCAGTGAGTAAGAGAGAGATGAAGTGCTTAAAAATGTTAAGGAACAAAAAAAAATGTCAAGAGAGGCAAGAAAGATCAGACACCTTTAACATACTAAATATATTTATTCCTTCAGAAACACTGCAAAATGTGGCCAGTCTTGACCTACAAGCAGTAATGAAACCTAAAGTCCCAGGCATATTACATGCCAGCATGCAACAGGGAGAACAGTAAAGACAGGGCCAATAAAGGCCAAAGATATTTCCTCAAGAGATTAGGAAATATATTTTGGAGGAAATGAAGGCCAACATGCTTCTCCCTTAGCAGAGCAAATCAATAACATGAATCTAAGTGAAGTGAGATCTAGATTTCCACAAAGTATCTCCTTCTCAGCACCCTTCCTCAGCAGGTTTCTCCATCCTTGTTCTCTGCACTGCATTTCTTGACCTGTGTCAAGGCCCTAGAGACAGAGGTGGAGTTGTGTTCTTCTGCTCTTGCCTTCTGCAGACCAAACTATTCTCCCTCATCTGAAGGGAGAGGAAGGGAAGAGAAGGGGTTGCACAGAAGGTGGCCTCTGTTCCCCATCATTAATAGAGGCTGGTTCAGTGGCTGCTGATTTGGCAATGGGAAGGGCACAGAGCCAAAATGCTCCAACAGGAGCTATCTGTCCATCTCTCCATCTATCACTCTCACAGAATTCCTGCTCCAGGAACTGCCAGTGGAGCGTTACTTGGTGCCACTCGGTCTCTCCACAGTCCTTGAGGTCCTCTAAGCACGTTCATGCTCCTCTTAGCCAGGACTCTGATTTCACCCCAAAAGTCTTGCAAGTGTCTTCAGTGAGGTACCCAATGACTGAGTAGCATCCGGTCCACTCCTGTTTGGCTTGATGTCCCCACTCAGATGTGTCTGACGAGGGAAAACACACATACAAAAAACCCATGTACTTTTCCTAGGATATGGACATACACAGTACAGTGCTCGATTTTTCAGATGCAACCCAGAGAGTCGTCTGATCCTCAGGAGCTCTACTACTTGGTTACATAGACTGGGTTCATTCTTTTGAGTCTGTCCCTTGGGAAGAAGGATTATTTGGAAGGCTACCTGGACAGTAAAGCAGAAAAACTAAGGACAATTGTCCCTGTATGTGGGAGAGAAGACATCATTAGCTCAAGTGAACAATGCAGTTTCATGGATTGCTGGCTGATCACTGCATAAACGTGTGTTAAACTCAGCATGCGAGGACAGAACGTAAGTGCTGCTTTGCCTCTACTGTAAAATAGTTAATCTATTACCTATGTGTTCCCTTTGTACTTATTGCCAGGTTGGTTTTAGTAGAACACAGGTGAAGAGGTTGATCATTCCAAGTTTTGAATCTGAAATGATTATGTAAGACCAGTAACATGACATTGGACATTTCTGAGGTAACAGAAATTACTTGTGACCCTATGGATAGAACCAGATGACATATTCCCAGTGATAGCCCATTCTATTATCTAATAGGGATTACATAAATTATTCCAGAACAAGGTAGAACTCTTCTGCATTGCAAGTATGCCTACATCTTGATCCTGGTTTCACAGCTGATGGAAAACAGGTAGGCTACCTCAGCAGAATGCCAGTAAACTGTCTCCAAGACAGACTTTACGCTCCCAGCCTTTTCCTGCAATATTGTGCTAATATTGTCTTGCTGAAAATTGTGTGCTTTACATGGTGGAATTACAAGTTCTTAACTCCCTGTCTCTGAAGTCATGCAAGAAGTATGGCTGCACATGGGCTAGTCCCTAACTTTGAGATCACAACACTAACTCTGACTAATCACTAATTGTGCAAAACTCCATGCTGCATCCCACCTTGTAAATGAACTGTCCAGGAATGGGCTAAACCACCACAGATATGAAAATACTTCTTTTTTTTTTCTGGTGATCCTAAGTGGTTTTGAGTCCATGACTGGAAAAAGAACCCTGGGAACAGAACTAGACAGACTGACAAATCATACAGTTCATGCCTAATGTTAATAAACAATATTCATGCAAGTATTGTTAGTAAAATCCCATGCTGTGTTTGCTCTCTGAAAGCATGTAGATACCAACTTGAAACAGCCTTTGCAGCTGGCTCACCTCCTTAGCTGATGGAGAATGGGGGTTGGGAAGTGGGGGAAGCAGAATTCTTGGTGATTATGCAAGGTAATCAGCTATCTAATCAGAACAAGAGTCCCTCACACATGCCTGTCAGGAACTTCTAGTTCACTAACAAGGTCCCAGGCAGGATGAGGAAGGGAAGGTGGAATGATGTGGTAATGCTGGAAGATGGGAGCTGCTGACCAATCAGCAGTTCCATGTTCGGCATTCCCTCTAGTCCTTAGCTGCCAGAGCTAGCACCTTAAATGGTCTGTATCTCCTAGATGTGCTCCCATCCTCCTCCACACCAAAATTCTGGGCACTCATACAACCAAAAAACTAGTACAAACGCAAAACCATGCCAGAATACTGCACTTTGGCTGTGACAAAATTAAGAGCAGTCCTACAGCATACAACTGGGTAGCTGAACTACTGCAGATAGTCACCAGCTTGTAATTCTTAGGGAGTATTGGGTGTAGCTGTAAGGAAGGCCCTTCCTTTGCAAATTTGGCACCTGAAGCAACTATAACCATGGACGCCTGGTTCTAGGGCACCTCCTGAAATTTTCTTAAGAGTCTCCACAGTCCTGAGAAAGGGAAATAACCTAATACAAAGTACTTGCTACCTTTCTTGCCACAGATCTCATCCTAAGTCTCTTGAAAAAAATTAGGTGTGGCAAAATGTTCCAGAAAGTCAGCTGCAGCCTTTGATTTAGAGACAGGCTGTTCTGGAGTCTTGGAAATGTAAATGGGTGGTTTCCCTGAAGTGTTCTAGGTAGGATCACATCCCAGTATAATACAGCTTAGCAGCAGCAAAGCTCCATTACCAGGAAATTGCATTTTTCCAGTTTTTGACAAACAGAAACTGGAGAATTAACTTGCAGACTACTGCATGAAGTGTTTTGCACATACCACTGGGTGTGGTATGGCATGCTTTAGCAATGAAACATAGGTGCAACACATGGGACCGTGCTGGAATCCTGCTGTAACACTTTGGGGAGACTGGAGACAGGTTAGTTCACGCTGGTTGGGAGCAGCGGCATGAATCCTGCTTAAAGGGGCAGAACGTGAGTACAACCCAACATCCCAACATACCCTTGTCCAAGCTTCTCCATGAAGCTCCAAAATCACTCCAGAGCAAACTATAGAGGAAACATACACATGAGTAAACATGGATAATTGGACAGCTAGGATTTTGCGTCTCCTGTTGGATGCAAGCTCACATTACACTAAAGATATAACCAAAATCAAGTGATCCAATCTTTCATCATGGTCTGTTTAAGAAAGCCAAGTTCCTGACAGGCTCTGAACTACTGTGCCACAGCCAGACATCCAGCTTTTGAGGTGCTACAATGCCTGATGTGGACAATTTCAGTAAAGCCTCCAACAGAGCAAGACATGCACCACACTTAAGCCAATACCAGAGACAGTGAGCATCTTTCAAAAACTAAAATTTATTTTCAACTCACTTGCTCTTCCTGCTGGGGAACTCTGGAGAGCTGGGACTGGATGATCCATCAGACTTCAGGTCAAAGAAAGTTCCTGGACAGTCCAACACCCTCTGTATCCTCTCTGTGGTGTCTCTGCTGGAAGAAAAGAGAAACCAGCTATACCCCAGGGCCAGAGTTAACTACCATCTATTCTAACACTCCCTTACAAGACACACTACAAAGCTGTATTACCTGTATACATGTAAAAGGGAAGCAAACACAGTTGTGCTGAAAAGGGCAGACTCCTTAGATGTGACATGTGACATCTGGAAATGGCCAACTTTAAGCTCCTCTTGAATTGATATAAAAGCCTGAATTAATTTCAGTATTCACCTTTAATTTTTTAACTTTTTCCTCTATCCTCCCCATTCCATTGGTGCTAAGAAGCTATAGAATTTCATAGAGTGTGTAAATATGATGGTTACAAAAGTGTTATTGCTACTAGGACTTTTCAAGGTACCTCTGAAGAAAGTTGTCTGTGTGAGTAACTGAAATGAGAGGTATGTTTAATTAAAGCAAGGAAAACTAAGGGATTTTGGGCAGGTTTTTAGAGCTTCAGTGATGGAGCTTGTCACAAAGTTCTTCCTCTGCTCTCTTGGCCAGTTGACCCTAGCTGTGGCACTCACATCCGAGTTTCTGATGATAACCCTTACTTATGCTAATAGAATTGTTTGTGAGACTGGAAATTACCCTGACAAAAAGTAATTCTAAAACTAAAACAACCCTGAAATTCCTACAACACACTAACAAGCAGGATGGACTGGGTCAGCTGTCAGCAAAGCCTGCATATCACTGAATTACAGCTTTAGGGTGAAGTCACACGTGACACTTTGAGCTCACTGGTCCCAGAAAGAGAGCATGCTCTAGCCTCCTTCATTCTTGCTGAGTGCACTTTCCATCAGTCCTCGTACCCATCAGACTTCTCCACGAGCCAGTGCATGGCAGAACCTTGCAGACAATTAATCCAGTGAAAGAAAGCTGATACTTTTTCTATTTGATTAATGGGTGGAATCAGTTCCATGAAAGGCCCACTAGGGATCTGAGCAATCATCACAAGGAATAGTCAAGATTGGGTAGATGAAAGGGACAGAGGGGAAATATCATGTCTGCTTTCAGTAACAATGAACCGTTAGAGCAGTTGCTAGTGAAACTGCGCCTTCAAGAATGACCCAAAAAGTTTTTCAGAAAATACAAGCTCCCTGTTCCTCACATCTAAGTTTACAAGTAAGCAAAAGGAAAGCTAAATAAGCCAATTAGTTCATCAGGTCTCTCCAGACAAAGAGCAGGGGGAAAAAAAAGAAAATAAATCCAGGGGTTTTCCCTGTATTATGTATGTCTGTATGTCATATGTATATATGTAAAGTCTTACAGGTTTTTTTCTGACATTTGAAATGGTTATTGTACACAAGTAATGGATTGAATAACACAGCCACCTAAGGTATAAAAGTATTTAAAGGAGTGAGAAGCTGTGGCTACTGTGACAGCTTAGACTGTTACAGGGCAGTTGTCCCTGAAGATTTAATTTTTCTCAAAAGTTCTGCTTTTATTCAAATTAGGTCATAGGCACCTCATTAAGAAAGAAGGGAAAATACAGTAATTTCCTCCTAAAATAAGTAGTTTCTACATTAGAGATGACTTTCCCCCTTTTGCACCCAGTCTTCTTGTTTCTTGGAATTCTTGCAACTGGGAAAATTGCATATTAGATGCAGAGCACTCATGCAACTTTTGAGTCAGCATAATCTTAAAAAGGTGTCTCAGCTAGAGCTGAGAGAAATTTATAATTTAACTAAATAATCTCTTGTGACCAAAAGACAACTTTTGAATGGTTATAATTCTGTCAAATATGCCAAATCACTCCTTGGAGCAGCATAATATCTATTATCCATTAATTATAATTATTTCTCAGACCATCTAACTTAAGCACTAGTTCATTTGAACTTAAAGCTTTCTAAAATAAATCCTTTAAGTTACCAGAAGTTTTGCCTATTTGAATATTTTAACATGAAAAGAAACAAACAATCAAGCATCCCCTTCCCAAATACCAGCCTTTCATCTGACTGTCTTTGAAAAGTGGTGAGTGAAGAACAAGAAACTGAAGAGTCCTGGATCATACTGCACAATATCTAAGAATGATCTTATAATGTTCCTCCACCCATTTCCTCCATTCTTCTTCAAATACTGATTCTCTCCAATTCCAAACGTCCTCTTCTAATTTTTTTCTGTTTCTGTTATTTGTCCATTTCTCCATCGGCTGACAATCAGTCCCTTTTCTTCCCATTCCAACCACTTCCATTTTAGTTCTCATTCCTGTTGGTTCCCCCTCTGCCTCTATGTACCTTCCTATGTTCCTTTTGTCATCTCCTCTTGATTTTTTTACCCTTTTTGTCTCGTCTCCCCACAGCTCATACCTCTTTTCCTCCTGTATGTTTTCAATGCCAATGGCACTACTCCGTCGCCCGTGGAAGCGGCTGGCTCGAGTACGTGATGGGCTCCTACCAGGCAAGGCAAAAGACTAGAAAAAAGGAAAGCATGACAGAAAGGAGAGGAACAAGACAGGAAAAGCTGTGCAGAGCTGAAAGCATAGGAGAAGAGTTTGCAACATGGATACAAATCCTCTCTTCTACTGCAATACAAGAGCTCAGCTCCACCTGTGCAAGGAGTGCTTTCTGTCAGCGAGCAAGAGCAGCCACGGCTTACAAAGGTGGTGTGAGGAAGAGACAGATATAAAGAAACAAAGGCAGAATACAGCCAGTATACAGAGAAACAGGCTTGGGAAGGGAGGTATCCCCATATGGTGAGAGGAGAGGCAGAACCAGAAAGGCAAAGAAAACCAGAAGTTAAAGGAGCAAAGGAGGCAGCAAACCCAAGTCATTAGTACGCTGTGACTTTGTTGTATTGACATTGAGAATGCATACAACCAAGTAAACTGTCACCAAGAAATCTTCACACTGAAGGGCACATTCTTGGCTTACTCAGAGATGTTTTTTTTGTAGTTTGCCTGTATTGACATCACTAGTGCAGAGACCACAACCAGCTGGATGCACTTTGGCCAAGGTAACCATATTTTCAGTATCAGAAACATGGATCATTTTCTGGAAAGATTTGTGATAGATTTTTAATTCATTAGTCACATATGTTTAGTATCCCTGTCAAAGAGGAAAGGCTTTGATAGTGACTAGAAATACTCATTCTTTTTCCCACCCCAAACTTTATTCATTCTCCTGTTTGTTCCCAACATGTAAATTCTTTTTACATCATAACAGCACCTTGAATATTTTGTGCACCTGCTTATATTACAGAAAATAGTCTCATTGGTGAAATCGAAGAAAACAGAACAGTTCTAGTGTCCTTATGTTCTCAGGTCTTGCCATATGACAATACAGTACCATTCCAGCCAAACCACAGTGCATGCATTTTTTAACACACGGTACCATACAGGATCTAATCCAGGATAGCAGAGATAGATCTCTGATGAAGAATCATGTTTGTCTTTCTTCTCCCAGTCTGCATCAATCTCAGCTCTAGTTTACACATGAACTGGGGCTAGAGATGGGCACAGACAAAACAGACCGCAACACATGCTGTCACCACTTGTGAAATGGGATGATACAACAAAAAGATTCACAGTGGGACAAGAGGACAACTAATAGGGAAAGGAAATATATGAGTGGTTACAAAGGTATGCCGGGTTCTCTTCTTACAGCCCACCCGAATACCTTACCGCAGCAATGGCCTTAGGGCCCTCGGCGACACTCTGGCTGAGGGCAAGGCCAGCTGTAGCTGGGCGGCTGGGCAGGGTGGCTGGCTGCTGCTTTCTCATGGATATCCCCATGGTATCCAGGCTCTGGCTGCGGCCTCTGATCACCCGCTGAACAGGAGGGAGGCAGGGAAACAGACAAACACAGATATACACATATAGACATGCACACGGTAGGGTAGTGTGAGAAGCACCACAGATTGAGTGGGAAGTTGTGACAGACCGACACCAGAACCACACAGATCCTAACTCCTGAAAGGCGGCACCTTAGACACTGCCCGGTTTTGGTCCTAGATGATTCATGGAGCTCTGGGAAGAGCACTTCCTCAAGTATATTCTCTAGTTTCACTTCCCTTCTCCTATTGCAATGAATAGAAGTTTCCGACAAGTATCCCAGCACACTGGATTAAACAGCATCACCTGGAGTAGTCCTATCCAGTACAGGCTATAAAAACACAAAATCAAACTCCTGTTCGAGGCTGTAAGGCTCAGTCTCACATGAACTTGAGTTCTGGTTTCAATAGGAAAGCAGTCATATCAAAATCTGCAGCATTTGAAAAAGCCATTTTCTGGCTTAACTCAGACCTTTCCAGCCTTTTACAAATGTCATCTGTGTACAAGACGTGCAAATCACAGCATCTGCCAGAAGTCATAAAAGGACATTTTGGGAAAATTAGTGTAAGACATGGATGGGTTAAAATTCATGGCTAGCAGCAAAGGCAGTTTGTATGTAAAAAGACACCTCACCAAAGCATCCCAGACCTGACCAAAGCTATGCACACAGCTACCAAACCTATTTGTGAACAGGTTAGTTTTACAGACCTTAATAATTCTAATTGACCCACCATATAAAGCCATAAAGTCATCTGAAGAAATGCTATTTATAACACATCTCTCTTTCCAGAGATATAGCATTTTATATAAAAGAAGTGCCAAGGCACTTCCCATGTGAGTGGGAAAGGGCAAGTAGATAAAATAAGAAAGCAGTAAAGATTCTCTCTATATAACCTGCTCAAAAGTCAGTTTGCCCATTCATACAAAACCTTTGCTTTCTCATATCAATCATCTTTATCACTTCTAAAAGAAAGTTCTGTCACCTGGTTTATTAAAAAAAAATCAACAATAAAAACCCCCTAACATGCCATTTACACTGAATAAGGTAAATTAACTTTGGCTTTTAGAGGGTAAGTAAAGCATCACAGTTTTTCTAGACAGTACACTCAAAGATAAGTTAGAAACTCTTGCAGTGGCTCCTGCAATTCTTTCAGTTATAATTAATTCAACTCAATTTCAGAAAATTAATTCAAGGGAACTGCTGTAGGAACTGAAAGCCCTTTGCTCCTAGTTATTACAATTCCTCTTGCAAACACTGACTCCTTCTTCTGCAAGTCATGGAATAAAACCACATCTGACATTTGACACCACCACAAAGCATAAAGAGTTTGACTTCTAAGGGCCAGTATGGAATTCTAGACCACACTAGGTTTGTAGAAAGGCTCACCTTGAAGTTCTCGAGGAAGCCCCCACTGCCATTCTCTATCTTGTCATCCTCCCCTACAGGTAATCCCATCATGCTGCGGCTGCGAAGTTGCAGCTCCTCAAAAAGGCTCTCCAAGAGGGCACTCCGTGTTCTCTCCTGCATCAACATTGGACGTGAGAACAGCTGTTATTGGGAGCAGAGATTTTTTCCTGTTTTTTCAATGTCTTACATCCTCCTCATAAAAAAAACCAACAAACAAATAAAAAATCCCAAAATACCAACAACGACAAAAACAAAACCCCAACAGCAAAGTCTGGAATAGAATTTCGGTACCTTGAACCAAAAATCAGTAATATCAGCATACATCCTGTAACATTAACACTGAATTTCAGCTAATACAGAATTTCCTCCAGCAAAATATATGCATCATATTCCCACCTTTACTTGAGGATTAGATCTTTATATCAAAATGTACCTGTTCATAGTCTATCACACCTGCTAAAAAATAAGAAGGAAATATCCCGTAACTGAGTATAAAATCACATTTCATCTTCCTTTCTTAAGCAACACAAAATTAGAAGTCAGGAATTTTACTTTATTTTCTTTATCTGATAATAATATATTTATTGTATATATATATATATAATTAAAATTTTCAATTGAAGCAGCCTGGTAACAGACCCACCTCTAATTTAGCAAATTTCTCAGCTCGATAGCAGCTGTACTCAGCGTTGATGAGCTTGACCAGAAGGAATTCACGAAACTCTGCACTCTAGAAGACAAGATGAAGACTAGTCTAAACTGGAGACAAAAACACTAGTAAAAATATCACATTATAAAAGCTCTGCTTACTAGTCTTTGGACCTCCAAAGTGCTCTAGCCAGACTGACAATACCTACTCAGAACACAAGTGTGTGTACCATGTCCCCTGCCAACTAACACAGGACCAGAGAAACAAACCTTTTTAAATATGGCTGGATTTGGCAGAGGTGGTCCAAAGAAGGGGACATCATCTCGGGCTGTGACTGAAACCTGAAATAATATAAGGGGGAAAAAATGAGTATCAGAACACAAGTGAGACCATCAAACTACTGTGATAGATCTGATTCCTCCTAAAAATTTTACCTATACAAAAGAGATGTAATACAGTGTCCTGTGCATCCCTCTGTTTCTGAACTCAGTGGATGAATGTGTTTATTTATCTCCCAGAAACTCAGTCAGCTAGATGTGCACACAGTAAGAGTAATAAAAAAAGCTAAATTGACAGCTTTTTTAAAAATTCTTTTAAATGATAACTAGTATAAACAATATATTTAGGGAAAAAAAAAAAAGCTCCTATTCAGCCTGCAAGATTAATTTCCACTAAAGAACTTTTGTCAGTGTGCTTGTACTGACCTAATTTTTTTTGCAGAGAATCCTTGGTGGAGATACACTGCACACTGAGGGGAGTATTTCAGTGCCACTGCCTCTGTGAGTCACAGGTGGCAAACATGCAAATGTTCTCCCAGTAAGAGATAGGTTTCATTTGTTTTATTTCTAGCATGCTCCTACCTGACATACCAATGTCTAAAGAAGTAACTGTAAGGCAGTCCAGTTTTTACACAGTCGCCTGTTTCTTCACAGAACTTACCCATAATTACATGTAGCTATCTTACCAAATACATAAAGTACCTCACACTATTTCACAGGGGGTTTTATTGTCATGTTTGAGATGAAGCAAGACCATTATTTGTCCTTTCATACAAGAGGGAATAATGTCATAACAACCACAACTGCCTCAAAACAACAAAACATAAATGTCACAGAGACACTGAGAGGACTGAATTTAATGAGAAGAAGGAGGAAATGGGCTCTCGATTTAATTAATATTTCTCACATTTAGGCCACCTCCCCTAATTATAAAGCCTCCATCTCTCTCCTAATGGATACCTACCAATTAAAATCCTGCTTTGCATTTTTAGCTTTCTGATTGCAAAAATTGAATCTGTGAAATAAATTCTATTAATAATCCAATTTAACAGTAGGCACTAAAGCTTAAGTAAATGCAACAAGAAATGGAAAAGAAATCTTTCAAATGGCAGTCTTTTGTGTACTACTATGCTCTCAAGGCAGCATCAGTTAAAGGCCCTTTAGAAAGGCCTTCACAGAAAACTCTGCATTGGCTCTAGGGTGATTACTGGGATGATTTCTTCTTCATGGAATGAAGTAGCCCTATTACACTAACAAAAAAAAACCAGTACTGCGGACAGACAAAGATGAAAACAATGGCAGGAAGCCACACAACAAACAGCAAACTTTCCCAGCTCTTCCCTTGTCATTAAAAAGTCCAGTGAATTTTTGTGCCCTACAAAACAGAGAGCAAGAGAAGAACTGGAACTCCATGGCCTTGTCAACACATGGCCTTCACTACAAACGAACTGCCCACAGCATAGGGAACAAGAGAAGGTGGTTGCTCCACCACCGACACCCTCTTGATGGAAGAGGAGATGGGGATACTGTCCTAATTTTGATATTCTTGGTGTTCCTGTAGACCTCCAAGGCATAAGGATTCATCACCACCATATTATCAAAATCCCTCCATAATACAACACATGGCGCTAGGATTAAAATGTTTCCACAATGAAAAATCCATCACAGATCCAAGTTTCTTTATATTTTCTGCTCTCTCAGCATCACTGAAAGTGACACTGAAAGTTACCTGACAGGTAACACTTTCCTGCCAGATGGGAATCAGTTCTGGAATCCCCAGAAGCAGGTGTAGCTGGCTTGGATTCCATAGTTAGGTCAACCAGCTGTACCTGACCTGCAGCCTCAGACACGTGCAAGATGCAAGCATTGTGCTGTGCAGCACCAGCAATGCAGACATGAATTTTACCTGACTTATACAATGTAAGTGAGACAATCCCCAAAGTGGGATCAATTGTGGCTCATGCTCTTCGATGTAAACAAATTTTTTTTACCTGAATTCTTTCTGCTTCAATTCCAAAGCTGTAAGATTCAGAAATTCATCAGCTATTTTGAAAAGTATATAACTTAACTCTGCTTTCAGGTGTAGATACTCAAGAAATCAGGACAACATCTGGCTGAACCTGCACCTCTCCCAAAGGCCCAATAACCCGTTTTCACTTCAAGGATCAAAATCAGTACAGGTTAATCTATTGATCCTGGTTACCTTGTAGAGAGTGTCCCCAGTGGTGCTATGAGTGAGCTGAACTACCACATAAGCATGTAGGAAATTAGAAGCAATCATATCAGGGACAAAAGGTGTGCTTTCATCTTGGAAAATGATGGCTACAATATCATTCCCAATGTGACGCTTCCGCTGAAGCTGGAGAGGAAAGAAATAATGAAGAGAGAAGGCAGGTGAAAGAGAGCAGAACAGTATGATGGGACTTCAAACACCAGTCTGCCTAACATCTCAAACCCATCTCTTCACCAAACCACTACTTTTGCCATTACTCCAGCCATAATTCCCAACATTATACAGTCAGTCAGTCTCCCCTCTATGCAGTCCTTCTTCAAATACCCTTCCTCTCCCAGCCACACTGTTGTAATCCTTATTCCTCCTTCTGATACCTGCTGGGAATCTCCCTCTGTGAAGGGCAGCTTTGTGGACACGTGAAACATGATCTCCTTCCCCCGGAAATTTGTATAGACTGACTCGGTGCCTGTTTGGCCTCTGGTAACATCCAAGCCTCCCCGGAACCTGAGCAAATCCACGCCATAGGTCAGGCAGAACAGAAATGAGAGAGCAGAGAGAAGACAGATGGTATCAATAACAGTGGTACATCAAAGGACCATCAAAGGTAATTTTTAGGAAATCAGTGACAGTGAGGCACCAAATCTTCCCCAAACCAATGCACTGACTGAAGCTGCACCATGTTTGTGCTGGTGAACATGCCAGCTTGCTAAAAGCTACGAAGTTAAACCAGGGATCCTCAAAGTAGCTACGTTCTTTGGCACTCTTCTAAGAAACACACTCCATATCTTAGAACTACAGAAGGGATGAGATGCCTCACGGAAAGAGTCTGAAACAATACTGCCTCATACCACTGTGAAACAAACTTCCATTTGCACTGCCAAATACTATTATTCTTTGCTGATACTGCAGGTCAAATTGAGGTACCAGAAGACCTTTAAATCAAAATACCAGCAGAGACCTAAGCTCCAATTAGTTCCCAGACATGATGGCTGACAAAAGCATCCAGGGCTTCTTCACTTGCACTGGGATTCAGAAGACACAGCACTTCTCTGGAAGCTGGGCTGTAACAGAGTCACAGCCTCTGAACACATGATGCTCCCTAACTTAATCTGGCTTTCCAGCTGCACTGGGTACCTACCCACGGAAATCCTGCAGCTGAATCTTGTCACCAAGGAAATCCAAGAACTCCAGGAATCCCTGACTCTCTACAGTGTTACTGAAGACTTCTTCTTCAGTTGTCTACAGAAGGAAAGCAGAAGTAGTAAGAAGCACAAGGAGTACAAAGAGCAGGCAGTAATTTCTATAGACAGTTCAACCAAGAATCATCTCTGCTTGAATACATTTCTGATATGGGCCCCTCATGGTGCTGGAGTCCTGTGCCTCAGCCCCAGGCTGCCATGAGGGATAGAGCTAGGGATCAGAGATCCACAAAGCCTATACTGCCAGAGACACTGCAGGTGGAAAAGGCAAGCCAAAGGAACTACGGCACTACAGAAACACTGCTGCCTCAATGCCACTGCTTCTGGACAGTGCAGATCATGCTATTACATCCCTTATGCTAAGAAAACTGATTCTTTGCATTTTGTCCCAAGTACCATGGGATCTGATGAATCTTACCTGTCCAGGTTTTTGGTAGATGACCCCAAACTTGAAGTTATTGCTTATGACATGCTCATCAAATGCAACAATAAGCTGCGAGGCCTGAGGTAATGAAAACAGAAATTATCAACTGGATGTCATTAGCCAGACCTTTGTGGAAAAGTGATATACAGATATATCAGAACACTGTACCTTGGGATAGAGGACAGGAAAGAAGCGTTCAACATTCACATCCTCACAAAGTAGCTGTTGAGTGAGAGAGATGGAAACAGAAGTGTGATTATCATGTGCCCTGGCTTACTGTGGGCATGAGAGTGTAGGCACTGTTTACAATTATCTGACAGGAGCCCCTTCAGGCAAAAATTCTGAGGTAATATTAGAAGAGAAAGAAGAGAAGGCAAATTGAAGGGTAAAAGGGAACTACATGACAGTTCTACAGTGGAATAGTAGAAAAAGAGGGAAATGGGAGGACAGAGGTGAAAACAACTTGAAGAATGAGGCCTTAAGAAAAACAGGAAAGCATGAATCTCACCTTTGCCATCTGAACAGCATTGGGAAACTCATTCAGACAGGAAATGGGAATTAGATCATGTTTGGTGCCAGTACGAGTCCTGACACAAAACAAAAAAGGCATTAGAGACAAGGCTAAAGGGAGACACAAGCAACACTGGCTCTTTAAAGAAAGAGTAGCCATTTCTTCAGAGTACTGTTTAAGTATTAATTCCAGAGGGTTAATTTTAACTGCAGTGCATAGAATCACTGGAAAAGCAAGGCATTTGCTCTTCTTACTGCCCAGTATTTCTTGTGGTGAGCAGAGGAAGACAAAATAGGAGCCCTTAGTCTCTCTGCTCCTTTGCACTCTTGTCTGCCTTGAGGAAGTATTTTGCTTCCCCCCCACCACTGTTTTCTTTCACAGAAATCTAAATGTCAAAATACAATTCACAGACACAGAATAATAAGGGATTCCCATGATCAGTGAGGGCTTGAAAGATTGTTAAAAGGTCTGTAAGAAACAGCTTAGGAAAGCAGATCTATGCAAATTAAAGGAGGTAGAAACAGGTGTAGCATTGTTCCAGAAAACTGACAAAGGAAAGCTGCCTTCCTCTTTGTATGTGTATTCAAGGAGATATCTTTCTAAGAAAAAAGAAATATTGGGCTGTCAAAAGCCTCTTCAAACCATGATAAACAAGCCATTGAGCAAGAACTACTGCGTATAACAAAGTATCTTACTAGAGGAATAACTACCCTTTTGCTCTTCCCTGGTCTCTTCCACATAGGAAGATAAACACTCCCAGGCACAGCTCACAAACAGGCTCTTTCTTTATTCCCAGATTATTGCTGGCAGTCTGAAAGATTCTCTTCAGACACTGAAGGAAACTCACCAGTGATTTTCTTGTAGCTAATTCCCATGTAACCATTTCTTTCCCTCAATCCTGGACAAATCCTTGTCAGCGGCAACTGTCCATCACCGGGTTGCAGTAGCACTGCCTACTGGGAGTGTACCCAGCCCATAGTGTGGTAAAAAGCTTCTCTGCAGTGGCCTCTCACCTACACAAGATCCTTCTCTGTTCTTCCTGCAGCTCATTCAGCAGCTCTCTCTAGGTAATATGTCTCTTCATAACCCTCTCTAAGGGTTATGACTTCATAGACTGCCCCAGGAATCTAGGTAATGTTCTAGATCACCTCCAAGGGAGCCTTAGTCTCAAATACAAAGCTTGGGCTAGCCTGTCCTCTAATTAGGGAATCCATGTTCTCCTAGAGAGTACTCACATGCCTCTAAGTAGACAGAATAAACAGAAAAGCTTTCTGTTTGAGGGAAGAACAGTATTTTCCACACAGGTACTACAAAGATGCACCTGCACCATCTTCTTTAAGGAAACTGCTGAGACCAACTCAAGAAGAGAAGGGAAGAAAAAAAGGCTCAAAGGTTTGTTTGCAGTTTCCTTTCTCTCCAAAAGAAAGACACAAAATTCCCATCCACATCTACACAGAGGGAGTGCAAGGACACACAGCACAGTAGCATACACTTCAATAACAGGCACTGTTACCTCAGCAACAGGCGTAGATTTTCCTGTTTCTCAATCTGTTCATACTTCACAGAAAGTACTAGGTAGCCCAAGGACATGTCACTGGAATAAAAGTTCTGGTGCTCCTGCAAACAGGAAACCAAAATGCATTATCCCCAACACACTTCCTGGAGAAGTTTACCAGGTTGGTTTTTTTTGCATACAACCAAGATTAACTAATGTTTAATTTAACTAGGAGTAGCATGCTTCCAGATGTGTGTATGCTGTCTTCCAGCCCACTTGATCGTAAGTGCATGAGCATACTGAAGTGCTTCCAGTCAGTTCACTTCCTCCTCACCTGTCCAACATCAGAAGGGCTCCTGAGAAGGAATAGTATTAGAACATTCAGCAACCTGATTTGAAGAAATTGAGTTTCTAGTAAATAAAATAATGTCTTTCATGAACTTTCCCTGTATCCATTCAGATTCTGATTGACTAAGCAGTATCTTGCATACATTCAACTGGACCTGCTTGTGGGTATTTTCTATCTCAAGAGCAATGGCAGGGTTATGGTAAATGGCTGAACTCCAAGAGTGCTCACATCTCAGGAAGGATACAGAAAGCAAAGCGGTTTTACAGATGAAGACTGGACACAGCAGTGCCACTAACACTGCCTGAGCTTTACTGGAGTGCACCTGCAACAGAGTCATGGAAACAATGAAAGATACCGCAAACATTTTCACAGTCTCTATACATAAGTGGCTGTAGCCATACATTCTTCCTGGGTATACAGCCATGTTCCAGTGCCCTAGGTATAGCAATGTGTATTTTCTATATTGCTATACCACATATATTGCTATACAATCTCTAACCACAAAAGGTTAAAGCCTTTTGACACAGGATGGGAATGGAAACCTCCAGCACAAAGAAAATACTATTTAGGTGAAATCATGCAGAAATGCCTTGTTCACTCTCAACATCCTAGTGGAAAAGCGTCCTCATGCATGACACAGAAGTGGGACAGCAAGTTGTGGTCAGCTGTACAGGCAAAACTTGAACAATTTGGAATATGTTCTGTGAAAGGAATACTCCAGGCACAATAAATTAGTGAAGAACCCAGTGGGAGCAAAGTATAACTTGATAAAAAATGGCTGTAGTCTGTCAGTTCCTTCCTCAGTCTTTTGCCTAGAATATATAGAAAATATATATGCCTAGAAGGTCTGCTCTGGCTCTGATTGATTGTAACCTCTCTCAAAACACTAGTAAAATTGTCTTTTGCTGTCTAAATCTTATGTATTAGTCATAGTTCTGACTCACTGTCAGAAATAAAGATACATCTAGTGAAATACTCTTATATCTATGTGGACACAGTCAACTTGAAATTAACAGACTTAAACCAATCCTCTCTTTCAAACAAAATATAGGAATAAGTAAGACTACAGTCACTACTGTAAACCAAAATGTGAAGATGTAGCTATCTAACTTTTTTAAGTATTAAAGATGTCATTGTCCTCACCTCCTCTTTGAGACAGAAAATACCCAATAGCCAGAACTGCCCTGATACTGACTTATGGGCAAAAGGTTCCATTGCTGATCAAATGAGGCAGTCTGAAAAAGTTATGGTCTAAGAGCAGACAAGAGGCATATAGAATAATATGGCCTCTAGCTGCAGTGCTCAAATCACAGAACTCCAGTGTGATCTGTCACATTGGTCAGTGGTACTAGAAGGGAAAAAAAGCTGAAATCAAAGGAAGCCACAAAGGACAGTTTATTTCTCCTGACCACGACTTTCAGGATACTAATGGATTTTTGGGATGTGAACAAGAATCAGGTGCTGTAAGTCACTGTGACCAAGGGCAGAAAGACAGAGCAGCTGAGGAACAGACATTCAAGGAGCAAAGCAAGACCATTCTCCATGGTCTGTTGAAGTCTAGAATCAAAATCCTTAAACCAAGAAGCCAAATTCCAGGCTGGATGCCCAAGACAAGCTGTAAAGGAAAAAGACAGCATAATGCCAACAAAAATCAGAACTAGAAGGCAAATCAAAAGAAAAGGAGCCAAAGCCTGAGGTTAGCTGCAGCTAAAAGTAACACTGAGTTGCAAAGACCAGAAATTATGATGCCTTTTGATGAGATTTCTTAGCCAGACCCCAGCAGATCCGACAGGAGGATCTCAGTTGCTTTGGAGACTGGGCTGTCAGCTCTGCAGCTGATAGCTAGGCAGAGATGCACAAACGGGTGCAATCCTCACAGGGGAATGGGTACCAGAATTAATGGAGGTCTTAAAAGAACTGAATTTTTGACAAAGCCATTGTTGCTATGTAGCTTGATCCTGAATGTAAGTCCAGGGTTTAAGCTGAGATCTGAGCAATTGTATGCATGAATAAACCTATAATTTACTTCTTATGTTTTTCTTTCTTTATAAAAACATACAGGCAACATAAGTCAGACCCATATTACTTCAACAGACAGCAGCCTTTATTGTTAGCTGTCCTGAAGTTAGAGATGAACAATCAAAAGGCTTTACAGTTGATACTGAAGATAGGAAGTCAGTGATGACAAGATACCCTGGAGCTGAGTGACGTATGTATTAAGTACAAATTTGTTCAGCCACAGATGCAGTTTCTGTAACATTTAATATAGTCTGAAAGATAGTTCTGGATTTCAAATAGATCTCCGTAAAAACAATTAAGTATCTTCCATGGGCCAAGGGAGAAGACTAATAGAAAATACAAGGAAAGCTGACAGTTTGCCAAAGAAGTTATAAAGCTACTAAGATATCTGCCATCTGCAGCAACTTTAACCAGCACAAAGAAAGGACAGCATAAAGGAGAAATACATGATCACATACGAATGTATAGCAAGAAAGCTTCTCTCTCAGCACTGAGAGCTTCAAGTGCTTGAGAAAATGGACCCTAAGTTTATTTGACTGGCAGTTACAATGTATACCTTTATTAAATCCTTCTTGGCTTCAGGCTACTTCTCTTTATTACAGCCTTGAGAAACAACATAGACATTGAATAATTCCCACAGGATAAGACATAAGGTTTTTCAGCCTTCTTCCTAAAGGCTAAATAAATCTTACTGTGTAATCATCATACAAAATACAGGTCACGAGGCAAGGAAAAGGAACTGAGCTATGACTTGAATGTTATTGATATTTTTTGGTGGTTGTTTTACAGGATCTGCTGTAAGATGTTCAGTAAAAAGTAAAAGTTCTATAAAAAGTATCACAGAATTGTGCAAGTTTGAGCAATCTACATATGCACATCCATATGTGCAAACACAGACATGCATATTAAGTCTGTAGTACCACAAAATACTTTGATCACCTGTCTTGCTTAAAGGATATTCCCTAAACCACTGGCTAGACCTCTCCCACCATGTGATGCTTTCAGACTCTTCTTCAGGTAAGAACTGTTTGCTATTATTCAAAGCATGAAAGAGATCTTTCCTGACATTGCTGAAATAACCTTCCCATGATACCAACAAGAAAAAGATCCAACACAGCATCAAAGCCACTGCTAACTTTGCACTGAAAAAAATACTCTTCTAGTGGAAAAGCTCTGAGGTCTCTCCTTAACTAAGCTTTTAAACCATAGGGAAAGTTTTCTAGCCATGGGTAGAGTTTTCTGTGACACAAGAATCCTGTTCACCTTATTCTTTTCTGACACTGGCTTGCCCAAAAACTTGCATGTTTAACTGAGCCTGGACACACATTCATGTCAGTTAAGGCAAAGAATAAAACACTGGGCACCAGAAAAGAAAGAATACAGGAGAGAGTTTGTCTGTAGTACTGAGGCACTGATAGCTGGGCACTTTGCAAATGTGAAGCTCTGCAAAAGAGGAAGTCATAATCAACCCAGGACATTCTGGATCTCACTTGGAAGGAATGATGACGATATGGCCTTGCTTGAGCAGGAGAATGAACAAGATGAGCCCCAGAGGCCCCTTCCAACCTCAACTATTTTGTGCTATCAGGTCAGCAGTGAATCCTATGTTCAGACTGAAAAAATCATATCCAAATTTTCCTCTCGTCCTATTGGATCTGGAAGCTTTAAAGCACAACCCTAAATTTACCATGACAGAAAAATAATTACAGTTAGCATACAAAAAGCTTCCAGAAGGTTACAGGATAAATGTCCATTAACAGATTGCTCAGCAGACCTGTTAGTCTTGAAGGGAAGCCTCCAGGAAGGCTTCTTTTTTTTTTCCTTATTTATAAATCACATTAATGTAATTTTCCAGGGTTGTGAACAAGATTCCTACAGAAGATCAGTCTGACAAGCCCAATTACTGCAAAACAGGTCCCCAGCACTGTGCAAAGCACCACCTATTTCTGGTTTTGAATTCGTTCAGCAGTCACTGAGGGTGATCACTGAATAAGACGCAGTGTGAGCACACTTGTCAGACTTTCTTATGTCCTTATACCATGAACTAAATCTCAGAAAAGATCATGGGTTTTTCTCACTTGCTCTTTATGGCTAATCTCATCTTGAGATTCAGTCTGGTAATCAGCCAATTCCCTAAACACCCAGGGCCCACCCAGATGGACCTTAATGGCTGACCAGAAACCGTTTACTTTATGAGGCCTAGCTCTGTTTCCCTATGTGTCAAACTGGAATTTTTATATTCATGGAACATTTAGCACCAAACTTACTTCAATCAACAACTATAAAACACATGGTCTGGTTTCATCATATACATTCTGTAAAGACCATACACTGAGGGAAATGGATTGCTCTGCTTCCTACTGAGGAGCTTGCACTATCAGTGCTGAAGTCCCCTCCGAAAATAATGCCATTTCCACTTCCAATACTATTACACTTCTGTTTGCTTGTTATCCCAAGGTTGGTATCTGTACAGGAGCCTCAAAAGACCTTCTTAACTAAATAAAAGCATTTCCTGTGCAAATCTTTCTACTAATACACAGGATGATGCACATTTCACAAGGGGACACGAACAGTTTAAAACACTACATACATACACATTGTAGTATCTACCTCATTTACATCAGTGCAAGGCACCATAAGGAACTGAAATGCAGTAGCAGTGCAGACATTTCTAAGTCCATCAGAAAAAGTCTAAGAAACATTTCAGCCTTGCGGCTGGGTGGGCAAAAAAGGCTCTGAAGGTCACCCTTACCTTTCCCAGAAAATGTTTGCGGTACAGCTTGGCTGTAGGGTCACTTTCCAGTTTCACTTTACCACTCCAGGAAAAGGGTACATCAGACAGAGCTGGACTCAAGCTGGAGAGGTTGTGGCTGGTCCCTTCAATCCAATAGCCCCCAAACTGGGGTAGGATAATGAGAGGATATGGCCACCCTTTCTGTAACACCTATTCAGAAGGACAGAGAGCATTAAAGCTAACAGATCTGTAAGCTGGAAGGCCAATAAGCTGAAAAACCAATGAAATCCAAGGACAAACAGAGAGAGGAGAGCAATACTAACTCACCTCATGGATGCTGGGATAAGGAATATACTCCTCTTCCGTCTGAAATCAGAACAGCCCATTAGCAAAATCATGTGACATCTTTTAAAGTATTATGCTCTCATGACTGTGCAAGCTGTGCCCTCAGCTTCTATTCTGCCCTAGGTCATCCTTAGAGTTTTATTTCAGGACTTAAGGTTAGACTCCATTTCCAAGGTCTCGGCATTGTAACAAAGAACTTTGAGAACAATAAACTTACAAGTCAGATTCCACCCACCCTCCTCCTCCAAACCACAGGGAGTATAGGCATGCAAAATGAGGAAGTAGCCAAATTATAGGTAAACGTGATGTGGTTAGCAGTGGCAGCCTCTCTCCTTTCCTTCCACACAGTGTTAGACAGCTGCTGTCCTTCTGCTGGCAGGGATGACAGCAGGAATGGCAGAAAAAGTGCTGTTATGAGATTGAGGCTGTGTCATATCCATGGCTGATCTGTGGTATGCATCTGAGCAATGCCGAGGTGTGACTCAGAGAACAGAAGCAGTATCTGAGCAAATTTATGCCAGTTGGATGCCCCCTCCATCACCACAAAGAGCACTGACTGAATAAAGCTATGTCAGTTCTCAATGTGGCTTTTTTTATAGGTCATCCCCAGATTAAAAGTCAAGGTCACATTTGATTTTAAGGTTAATAGGCCTGAGCTGAGACTGAAAAAATGGAGATTAATCCTCAACTTGAGGATTTAAAGACAGGTATCTATTCTTATTGCCTTAATATTGGGCAAAACAGATCAACTTTCTAGTAGCATCTCTATGAGTCATCAAGCAGACTACTGAAATAAATGCTATGTGGTTTCATAAATATTATTACAGCTCTTAAATCGAATAAATTTAAGAAATGACTTAGTCAAAACTAACACTTTTAATAACAATAAACTCTTATTGGAACCACTTAAATTAGAAAAAGGGAAATGTTAATTCTATTTCAGCTACATAGTTTCACCCTCTTGTGCAGCAACTAGGGAAAAAAAAAAGAGAAGTAAAAAGGCAAGCATGTAAGTGTTCTTGGGATGTTTGCAGACTCCCTGTCCATTCCAGTAGAAAAGCACACTGCAAGCCAGGTCAGTAATTATCTGCCATTCTCATCAATTTAGGAGGCAACAACAACTTGGCCTGACCTTGAGAGGAGCTGGAAGGGAACATCTTTGTTCATCCAGACGACTCCCCTGGAAATACAAAGTCACAGACAGTGAATCTTGTATTTTAGCATGTCTGTTTCACATACCCTCTGTGTCCTTCTTCATACCCTCAACATACATATTTTATCCCTCTATAAAATCTCCCATTTTAAGCAAGTTTGGAAGATTGGAATAAAAAGGAATAGTGAAGCTAGAAAATAGCCAGTCCTCTAATTTGGCATTAAAACTGAAAAGCTACCCCCAAGCTTACACCTCTTAAAAAGTAGACAACTGGCAGATATTAAAAATAATCTCCCAAACTGATTTTCTTATTTGATTCTCCAATCTCTTCTAGCACCTTTCCTTCATATCCTAAGAAAAAAAAAGAAAAAAAAAAAAGAAAAAAAAAAGCAACAATGACTACAAGATGTGTTGGAATGGCAAAAGCCTACTGGCTGCCTAGTCTCTTCCTGAATCAGGAGCTGGCATCCCAATGTGAATTTCCCCCTTAAGGCTGTTCCATCCTCTGCCTTAGCACAGCAAAGTAGATCACTTCCACCACACCTCTGCAGCAGAAGTGCACAAGAATAGGACAATTTTAGTGAGGAGAGCCCCAACACAGACTGAACAGAGGCCCAGACAAGAAAATATGAGGGTCAACAGGCCATAGTCCAAGTGGGAACCACAGACAGAAGAGTAAGAAGCAGAACTTGTATCATCATATAGGAAGGTGAGGACCAGGATTTAAAATGTAGATTTCTCTTACACACAGTACTTGAATATTCAACTATTGTCACCTAAATCTTGTAACTCTCATACTGAAACATGATGCTGAGACTACATTTTTATATACCATCAGTGACAGCTTAATGGTTTGGCTAATCAGGGATTCCAGACAGGATAAGCAGCTCTTGACTTGGTTGTGAAAATAAGCAGGATTGGATTTAAAACAGCCATGTCTGTGCATATATTCTACAGTGGAACTGGTTGGTCAACTAGGTTCTGGTAGAAATAGGTAAACTTCAGAGGAGCTCTACAGTGGAGACTTAGGAGGCTCAGGAACAAAAGTTTTGGACAATGCTCCAGCTGTACAGGGTGCAAAAACTGCTAGCATAGTACCAGCAACACGGAGCAACATCAACCTTAACAGCTGAGGATTCAAAGTAATCAGGATGCTCTTTGCAGGAGTAACAAAAGAAAAAAAAAGGAAAGAAAAAACCCAGCACATCTACTTCACATAAAAACAAGGTTTTAGGAAAATGAGAAAGTTTATTAAAAGAACCTAAGAAGGAGCCACAAAAAACCCTAAACCTGCATGAGATCATGAGGAGCCAGACCTTGAGTACACAAGAAATGCCTAACACCTAAAAAAAATCTCTTAGAAACATCCGAAGTAAACCAGTATGGCCACACTCCAGGATAAGGAAGACTAGTAGCAGGTGCATGAGGTAATTTTTCAGAAGTCTGAGGTTGAGTTCAATCACAGAAAGTAGCAGTAACAACAAAATTTAATTGGTTAAATACAGAAACACAGTAAAGCAAGCAAGGAACAATGAGCAGATAACAAAAAAACAAACAATTTTCCTCAGCTCTACTAGGAGAAAGAAGCTTCACATGTTATCTACAGGGTGGCACAAGATCAAACTACAAAAGCTGAGCTTTGAGACAGTTACACACCCTCCCCAAAGCAACTGTTTTCCTTTTGTATTTTCAACCAATGGATACTAAACAAATACCAGCCTGGAAATATTCTTCATAGGAAAACTTTAGAATATATGATCTGAATTGTGCTGTCAATACACAGCATTGACAAAATGAACAACCAATTACCAGGAAGTGGCGAGTTGTGAAATTAAGATGGAACACAGGTTGACAAGTGATCTTTATCTTTTGCAGAGGTAGTTAATAGCCATTTTGCATTTAGGGAAGTTGTAAAGGTGAAAAAGTTGGGTTCATGGAATGTAAGTGCTAAAATGTGTTTTGTTGCTGTGTTTCAACTGTCAACCCATTGAGCTGAGGTTCACAAGAAAGACCAGGTTCTGAAATGGATTTGGAAAAGAAACAGAAAGTCCTGTGCACTGTCAAAACAGGACTGAGGCAGGATGGACGCAGAGGTACACAGCAGCCACAGCCTTCCACAACAAACTGTGGGAAGTACTGGGGCAGAAATGGAGATTGGGAAACTGCAATCTTGTAATATTTCTCTCTCCTTCCTTGGCATTTTCGGCAGATCTGATAATGCAAGAATTTTCCAGTTTCACAGGAGGTCCTGGACCAGTATCCCAGCAAGGCCTGAGGGAAAACTTTCTGGGCTGCTGTAAAGATCTCTGTATCAGAGCCTCTACAGAGAGTGAAGGAATGTACCAGCACATTCCATGACTCTGCACAGTTAAGGAAGCTCCTGGTAGCCTGGAAGCAGAAGACATAAGTTTAAATCTACCGACCTCTCCTCTAGAGTGAAGCTTAGGATAAGAAGAATGCAGCCGTGGGCTGTACAGTCCAAAGTTTTATTTCAAAGGGAAACCAGGACCACAGAAAACTTCCAGCATAAGTTGTTGAAGTGTCAAAACATGGGCAGAACAACTGCTTGATGATCACTGTCATTCCTCAAAACGGAGAAGAATAAACTGCAGCAGTCTCAGCCACCCCTTGAGACATCCTTCTGGTTTTATCTGGTTTGGCTTGCAGCACTGCCAGCTTCCCTGGGTAGCTTACTGCAGACAGCATCAGTCTGGGGATATCTATCATATGTCCAAGGTCTTGTACACAGGAAGCACCCGGCCTGAGCAGGATGAAAGAATGAATGACAGAGGAAGAGGTGTCCAGACCCAGAGTCAGAGTCCAACATGGCGTAACAATGCTATGATAATACACATATTTTATGGGGAAAGAGCAGTGCCTGGAGGGCACTGTTCAAAACAGACAACTTGGATACAAAAGGGGATACAGGAAAAAAAAAGTAGTTGTGAGAAAATGAGACTGAACAATATGCAGAAACTGTAGGAGTGCAGAACAGAGGGAGTGAACAAAAGTGAAGAGGGATTGGTTATGGAAACATACAAAGACCTGAAACATCTGACCTTATTGGATGAAATAAAATTTCCTTGTTTTTCAATTGCCTGCACTGCAAAGCAATCTAGGAACAACATATTATTAAGCATTCTTAACAGAGTATATACTGTGACTTCACTAGATCTGTAAGCACAGAACAAGGTGGTCAATAGCCCGCTTATTTCCAAGAAATGATAACTAAATTTGAAGAGAAAAAAGAAAAATAAAAAGAAACAAAAAAGGTAAACTTCTTTCCCAGATCTTGGGATTAGTTTCAGTGAAAAATGAGAGTACAACTTTACCTGTTAATTCATCACAAAGAATGTGAAATGGCTATCCTAATTTTCAGTCCAACAACTATATTCCAATCCAATTGTTAAAGTACTCAACAATCAATTCTATCCTGAGACTTTTTCCTTGTTATTTTACAGGAGTAATGTTCAAGCCTCCTGCTTTGGTTTTCACACACTTTGATTGCTAATGAAAACCCTAGATTTTGTTTTCAAGAGTGGTTCAACAAATCTAAAGGATAGTCACAATCAAATGGAAGGAAAAGTAAGGAAAGGGAAAGCAAGAACAAACAAAAGAGAATAAAGAATTACTAAAAATCTAAACAAAGAGCATAAAAAGTATTAGAAATTCTTTTTTTCTTTTGGAAAACACTTAACTTTCAAAAATCTGTTACACTTAACAGCAGTTATTGATTCTCCTAGTGCAAGTCAGGTGACAAAACAAGCTTAACCAAAAAAAAAAAATAAAAAATACCATAAAGTCTTAATAATGGGCAGCTAAGAAAACATCATAGATGCAAAATTAGGCAGTCTGCATGCCTTGGAAATTCCCATCCGCTCCTTGTTATCTCTCTAACTAAAGAGGTGCAAATCCAGTCAGACTTTCCATGTAACTGGGAAATGAGTAAACGGGGAGATGAGAAACATTGGCAATCTTAAGGACCAGTCTTCCACAGAGGGACACCTGGTAGTGACTCTTCCTTATCTGTATTTCAAAAAGCCTGGGAAGGATGGTCACAACCTTTGAGCATGTGCTTGAACTGAAGCAGCACTGCATCCCAAGTTTACTTTCCTGCACAGAGGTAAATGAGCTAGAGGCACTCACAGAGCTTGCTATTCTAAAGCATTTAGAACACAGCCCAAACACAGTGTGGATGTCAGTACAGTGGTTGCAAGGTCTGTGTCTGTGTGCACATGAATACATGGCAGATACACCTTCAGCCCCTCCCTCCCACACTCCTTCTCTCTAGTCTGCCAAAAACTACTTCAGCCCCATCACTCTAAACTGAGCATTTTGCTGCTACCTTCCACCTCCTCGCCTTTGTCATCTCACTGAAGTCAGGCACTTTCTTCATATTCATAATTTGATCACTCAAATTGCAGAAAAGAAGTTAATTGGTTTTGGTAAGTGTAATTCCTGCACATAATAAAAGCCAGGAGTTATGTGCAGTGCTATGTGTTATGTTAGGTCAGGGTTAACCACAGCAATTTAAAGAAGGTGCACCACTCAGGGAAAATATTGGTAACCTGCTAGGATGTTCTGAGAACACATAATCTGAAAACATAATCTAACTTCATTGTTAGATATTTAACACATATAACATATTACTATTTCTTTATCTGATACGATAAAAAGGGAAAAAAACCCAACTCTGCCCTATTTTAAGTTTATAACATAATATATGCAGCTAAATGCATGTATTTCTGTGTAAGAATTAAGCCAGAGTCCTTCTTTCTCACACAAGACAGGACCTACAGTAGTTATTTATTAAACTACCTGACCTTGCTAAATGCAGTTAGGTTAACATCCCATTAATCACCTGTCATTATACCTGTTACCCAGCAGAAGTTTCATGAAGAAAATGCCAGAGATAACTTATTGCAACTTTGATTTTCTCTCAGAATCACACTTCTGCAAAGAACAGGCAGAATTATAACCTGTGTCTGTTGCTTCCATCATGCTGACTGGAAAAATGAACACAGAAAAATGCTTTTGAAATCCTATTGAGGAGTAAGAGATTGAGCCTAGAAGACCTAAAAATTCTGCAAGCCCGCATTAAAGGATATTGTGAGTGAAACAATAGGACAAATAGTAGCTGATTATTTGTTTGCTACAAAAAATTACGAGATCACAAAGTTTGACAGGATTACTTCTCCTTACCTGCATTTTTTCAATCATTTCAAACAAGTCCACAGTCTGTGAAAAGGAAAAGACAACAGAGAAAAATAATTTGACATTTGCAGAAGCTAACATTATCTTCTGTGGAAACTCAGATATGGAAGGAGCAAACAGCTCCTACCATATTTTGGCAAAGAAACTACTTGCTTGCTGAAGACACAATGAAATTGTTCTTCCTTAATTGGTAGCATGGACAAAACAACTGGTCAAATTGTCTTCTGCCTTGTGTTGCAAAAGTTTGACCTGAACCCTGGTCAGTCAGGTATCAGGAATTCCTCTCTTTCAATGGGTCAGATTGACTTGAGATAATATGGCATAAGAACTGGTCAAATTAGCAAGTTCAGGATTCTCACAGAAGGAGGCCACTATAGCTGTAAGACATACATGCACATGAGCTTGATTTCAGTCAATTCTTCTGCACACATAACTCAAAGTATGCACCAACCCTGAGCCAAACATGGAATGCTTTTACCTTGTTGGGGACAGCAGGAGAGAGGACACATGGAAAGCCTTCAGTGGGAGAGTCTATAACATCACTACAACCCTGCACTGCCTCCTCAGGCCTCCTGCAACAGACAGAGGCAGAAGAAAAAAAAAAAAAAGGAAAAAGTTAACTCAAGAGAATTCAAGATGTCAGTGCTTGCCTGTAGTGTCTCTTCTGCCTTCTGCTTACTATTCCTCTCCCCAGGCCATGTCTTGCCTATAAGGAAGCTGTCATTCCCTGTGAGAATCCCTGAGGTGGCTGAACTTACCGCTTACCATTTGCAAACATCCTGGATGTAACAGCAACAATTTTCTGGCTTCTGACTGCTCTGTCTCTGCTCACATACAATATTTTCCTCACAACTGTCATGGAAGTGCTGAATGATTTTTCTTTGCCAAGTTCCTCTTCCATCATGGATTTGGAGCAGAATTAAGACATGTCTCACAAGAAGCTTTGTAATCAGCTCTCAAAACAGAACCATATTAAAAAGGATGAAAGTAGTTCTGAACCATCACTGAAATCAGCACCAAAAGGACAGCCCCAGCTGCCACAGCCCAGGTATTAATCTCAAAGACAGGAGCATAACAGAGATGGCACTAGAACAGAACCATACTAACACCCTGCAGAGATGCAGGCACAGTTTTGTGTTACCACTGGTACAGCCAGCATGAAGATTAGGTGAGCTTTTGTCTGCACATCTGCTATGGAAAATATATTATTACTATGGTCCCTGCTGGAGCAGCAGTGTGTCCAAACAGCAGCAGGACTTTATTTGATTTCATAGAAGAGAAAATAAAAAGCAACACAAACACTACATTGTAGTTTAGAAGACATATTTAGCATTGCCCATGGCACTACGGTCTCACTGACAGCTGCACCTCTCCTACTATTACTTTATAAGCATTCCATGCCTCTCAGTATTTACTAGCAGTCACAGCTGGGCTTAAGTCATGGTGAAGGCCACTTAGGTGGGGCTGGGAACTAAGCACAGATTTGCAGGAGACAGGGCTCATCCACTTTGTAATGCAATCATGAATATGATTGTTAGGAGGTCATAGAATCACAGAAGGGTTTGGGCAACCTTAAAGATCATCTAGTCCAAACCCCTCTGCCAGATGTCACCTACTACATCAGCTTTCAGGGCCACATCCAGCCTGGCCTTGAACACTTCCAGGGATGTGCCATCCACAGTTTATCTGGGCAACTTGTTCCACTGCCTGAGTAAAGAATTTCTTCCTAACATATAATATAAATCTCTTCTCTTTTAGTTTAAAACCGTTCCCCGTCATCCTGTCACTACCTGCTCTGTAAAAAGTCACTCTCCCTTTTTAATAAGCCACTTCTAAGTACTAGAAGTCTTCAATAAGGTCTCCCTTGGCTGTTCTTTTCTCCGTGCTGAACAGCCCCAGCTCTCTCGGCTTGTATTTGTAGGAGAGGAGCTCCAGCTCTCGGAACATCTTTGTGGCTGGCCTCCTCTAGACCTACTCTAGCTGGTTCACATCTCTCTTCTCCTGGGGACCCCAGAGCTGGATGCAGTATTCCACATCAGGTCTCACCAAGAGCAAAGCAGAGAGGGAAAATCACCTCTCTCAACCTGCTGGCCACCCCTCTTGTGATGCAGCCCAGGGTATGTTTGGCTTTCTGGGCTGTAAATGCACACTGCAGGCTCATGTCCAGCTTTTCCTCTACCAGAGTCCCCAAGTCCCTCTCCACAGGGCTGCTCTCAATGAGATCATCTCCCAGTCTGTGCCCATGTCTGGGATTGCCCCAAACCAGGTGCAGCACACTGCACTTGGACACATTGAACTTCACAAGATTCTCATGGGACCACCACTCGTCAAGCTTGTCCAGGTCTCTCTGGATGCTCCCCTCTTCTGTTGTGCCAACCACACCCCTCAGCTCTGTGTTGTCTGCAAACCTGCTGAGGGTGCACTCAGTCCCACTATGTCATTGATAAAGATATTAAAGATCACCAGTCCCAAGACAGAGCCCGAGAGACACCATTGTCACTGGCCATACAATCATCATACAATGCAGAGAATAATCCTACAAGGCAATCCAGAGTTGCTGTCCTGTAGCTTTGAGATGCATAACTGCTGCTGCTTCCAAGCTAAGAGAGTGGTCATGCAGACCCTCACTTTGAAAGCAGTGACTACATTCCCTCTTGTATGGAGGTACAGCATATTTCTGTGATCTTGAAACTACTCTACCGCAAGTTCCAAAAATCATAATGCTCACCAGTTCTCTGACAATTCACAATTCATTTTAGTGGCCCAATGGCATCATGTAACTTGCATATAGGCTCATCTACACAAAGTAACACAATGCTTCCATCCCACAATTTTCTCCTGAAATTCAAATGAGAGAGATCTGTATAATGCATCTAGAAATTAATGCCATAACATGTCTGGGAGGGAGTTAGTCTTGACAACCTCAAATAAATATTGAAATAGTTTGATGGCAAATGTATTTTAAATTAATACATACATGCTTTATTTATCATCTTATTCATTTACTTGAAGAATGTTTGGGATGAACAAAATTTATGTCCAAGGCAGTGCACAAAACATTTTCACTGTCTCTTAAAAGTCTGAAGTTTCTGTTCTGTGAGCCCTAAAAAGGCAAGAGCTTAATTTGAGAAATTCTTGTTTTCAGAAAGAAGTGTAACAATAGAACCTTTTGTGCAACTGAATGTCCTGGGGCCTTGTAGAATGCTAGTGTTTTCTTTGGCATGTCACTGAGGTGAATCCTGAATCATTCAGAGGAGTTAAATACACACCTGCATCATGGAAATCTGGCAGCTCCTACATCAGGTCAACATGGGCAGTCCTGCCCCCGTCCTCTCACTAAGAATTCATCTCAACACTTGAGACTGGAAAACTTTGGGTAGACACTGTTCTTTACTGTTGAATCCTAGTATAGTTCTATTATCCAAATGAGTCCAGTAGATGACAAAATCATAAGTCTTACTGTACATTTAGAGATGTTCACATTTTTGTAATTATCCCAAATTAGGAATACACCAGGAGCCTTTGAAAATCCTAAAGAATGCCTTAGATTTTACGTTACCTTCTATAAAATATCACAAAAATCTGGGGCTATTATAATTATTGCTTTAAAGTCCACAATCAATTTCTGGAACTTTGAACTTCTGGAGTGAAAAGCACTAGACTGTATTATAAAAAGGGAACATACTTCTTTTCAAATTGGAACTTCAAACTCTTTGATCACAGAAAAGAAGAACATCATTCTTCAGAAAACAGAAAGCAATTCTGCAGATTGGGAGAGGAATATTTATGTGTAAATGTATACTTGCTGAAGCTTTATTCTTAGGAAATGGCAATAAGGGGAAGCATAGGGCCTAGAAAATGCTGAAGGCTACATTGGGATTTTGCTAGTGACAATAACCAGTGCATTAATTTCAAGCAGGCAGTCAAACCGAATGTAGGTACTGCTGATCCACTGATAAATTCCACTCTCAATTCTGAAATAGAACAAGAAGAACCTTTGAAGATGTCTAAGCAGTACAACTCTGCTCATGCCTTGTATTCCTGTCTTGCAGCATCCTCTGCTATTTCAGTCATGGGATCCTTCTACCCGGCTTTCAAAATCATTGCTATCTGCTGTAGCTGAGCCAGTTCAATAACCAAGTCAATGCAAGTATTTGCTCCAAGAAAAACAGAGATTGCACAGAATTTCATACACCCTTTCATAAATATTCCAAAGCAAATGGGGTTTGTTGCACTCTAAAAGGCAAGTGCCCCAAATCCTCAGATAACTGTTTTCCTGAAAATTTACATGGAAGCAGGTGTATAGCTGTTGTAAATACTTCTGCTAATCTGGAAGCCTTCCAGTAGGAGAAACACCACAGCATGATTTGCAGCTATCTATGGAACAACAGTCAATGTAATAACTGGTGTCCCAGCCTGATAAGAGTTTCTTGCAGGGAGATACTAATATGTTTTTTAAATCTCTCACTAGAAGGGACAGTAAATTCAGAAGAACTGAAGGTAAAGTGAGACAAGAACAGGTCTGAAATCCTCATAAGGAAAATTCTGGGCAACCACATCTCTAGAGCAACAGCTTCTGCTCCCTTGTTTCTGCCTTAGAGAGATGCATCTGCTTTACCAAATACAATTGTTAGCTATTCGGTGGAGACACTGAACACATGACACGAATAGCCCTACTCTCAGAACACCTGTACAGCTTTAAAATGTGCTTATGCATGGATTCCTAGAGCTCAAGAGATGGAATTACTGAAGCAGAACTAGCAAAAGGAAGCAAACGCTATAGATGAGAGGCGGCTTGCTTTCAGCTGGTCACAAACTTTCTGCCCACAGACTCTGATTTACAGTAAGGAGCCTCTCTCCCACCCGCATTCCCCTCTGGCTGCCGTGCAGCTCCCGTGGAAGCCACCGCTCCCACTCGTGGGCAGCCCGTGCTCAGGACTTCGTGCACCCACAAAGAAGTGGGCAGGGTACCGGCAGGGCCCGGAGAACCCCGCCAGCTCTCCTTGCGGGGCACGAGAAAGGAGAACTCCAGGGATTCATCTTGCCATCCAACTCGCACTCCCACCTCCTGTAAAGTCCCAATAGGAGAGGACCCCCACTCGCAGGACGGCAGGAGAAAGCCGGCCGAGCCTCCCCCTTTCCCTCCAGGGGAAGGGCACCCGCGGCCGCCCCAGGGCCCGCCTCCGCCGGCCGGAGCGGGGCCGGGCCCTCAGCCAGACCCGGACCTGCCGGGCTGGGCACGGCCATCGCCTTCCCCCTCCCCGGCTCTCCGCCCTTCCAGCCAACCCGCCAGGGCTCTTCCTGCTGCTCCAGCACTGCCATCCCGACGCCGGCAGCCGCTGCCCTGCCCCGTCCCCAGGCTGCCCGGGAAAGGCAGGGCCCCAGGCCCCGCGGCCGCCGGCACCGGTCCCGGTGGCGGTGCCGGTACCTACCCTCCGCTGGCTCCGGCAGGGAAGCCGTGCTCCCGGGAAAACATGCTGGACTGCTCCGCTGAGTCAGCTCCCGGGTTCCCTCCTCGGGAGCCTGCTCTCCCCCGGCCTCGCCATGAAGAAGGGCTCAGGCTCCCTCCCGGCCCCCTGCGAAGCCGCGGCTCCCGCCCCCACCCCTCCTCTTCCTCTCGGGCCGGGATTCACCGGATAGACCGGGAAGGGACCCGCACGGCCCGGTCCGGGCCCGGCGGGCAGCGGCCCCGGAGAGGACAGAGGGGGGGAGGAGGAGGAGGAGGAGGGATAGAGGACGAGGAGACAAGGGGGGATGGGGTGATGACTTCTGCCCCTCCTCCGCCGTGTCAGAGCGGATCCCCCTGGAGCCCCCCGTTGTGGGAGCCCATGGATGGAGCACAGCGTGCAGGAGCAGCTGCTGGGACAGCCGAGCCGGGGACGCTGCTCTCCAGGTCATCCGTGAGGGTAACACAAGCACAGGGTTAGACAGGGACAGCAGAGGGGTTTCACTTATTCAACTCTGCTGTAGAACAAGATCACATCTCCGGGCTCTCAGTATCCAGTGAGGAAAGTGAGCATCAAAGCGGATCTCCACAAATCCCCGTTCTTTTAAAGGGAAGGCTAGGAAGATAGAAAATCCACTAAATCCAAATCCTTGTCATTTGGACCTGACATACATCAAGTACCGCAGAGATTTGGCTCTGCACCCCTTATGAAATAGCTCATTGATGCAATGTGTAAACTAGGGAAGCTCAAATTTACAGGGATCACAAAGTGCCTTAACCACATGTATTTCCATTCACTCATCAACAGATTGTCATTCCTGATAAAAAACTGAGCATGAGAACATGGTCTGCTATAGCAGGAATATGCATATACCTGTATATGAGAACACAGAGTTCTTCTGGACACATTTTTTCCTGTGCTTCTCAGTTTCATTCCACAGGATGATGTCATGTTTTCTCTTTACATCAAGACCTATAAAAGCAGCAGCTACAACCTTATGTCAAATGTCAGCCTCATACTCGGTTTGTTCTAACTAATGAAGGGGACATAAGGAAACACAGAACAAGAGACAGAATTTACCAGAAAGCTAGGAAAAGATGTAAAGCAAGAGTGCAAAGAATATGCAGACAGACCAAACAGAAAATATGAGCTAGCAGATAGAGAAAAAAGAAAGATGCAGAGAGAAAGGAATTGTATCAAAATTTTGGGGATGAACACAGCATTTTCATCCTAATGCTTCCTATAAATTCTACTCTTGAAAGACCTGGATAGAAATGATTATGGGGACTTCAAGGGTCTGTGGGTGGGAAAAAAGACTGTAAGAAGTAAGGAATCAAGATAGGTGACAACTTTGAATGGACAAAGAAAGGGTCCACTTGCTGGTTTTAGTGACTTGCATGGAGCCCAGGTGACTCAATTTCCTCTTGTCTCCCTCTTGTAATTCCCCAGAAGGTCTGATGCTGGAACATGGGCCAATTCATACATCCTCACTCCAACTCAAATGCCTCCCAAATGGGCCCAGGGCACTGAATAGAACAGCTGCTCTCTTCACAAGCAGGTCTTACTCATTCACCTGAATCTCTGAGCAGAGATGTGACTGGACCAAGGCAAAGAGCCAAGCTTGCCATTTCTGCTGCATCTAGGAAGAAGAGACATTATTTTTTGCTGTTAGAGAGAGCTGCCAGCAGTAACTACTGCCCTCCCCCATCTCAGGGTCATTATCAGCAGTGCTATCAAGCCTGGCCATGGTGAAAGCAAAGCTTACAGAGAGGCTCAGGTCTTTCTGCCATTCTTGTTCTTCGGCAGCTTGCCACTACAGACAAGAACCAACTTTATTCACATACAAAATCACACTGAGCTCAGCTTTCATTTAACTGCCTCACAGCTTTACCTAAATTTCTGTGCCACTCCAGTTGTGTACAAAGCCCTCAATATGCATAAGCAAAACAGCAAACAATTATTAAATACCCTAATTACTGTTCTAATTAGCCTACTTTAGCAATAGCAATATGAATAAATCACATGTAAGCAAATCACAGGACCACTTTCTGCTCCTCAACTTACAATCAAGCTAACAATTGTTACTATTTACCCTGCTGATGAAAAATATTACCTATTATAATCCTTCAGTTGTAGTAAGTAGATTCAGCTCCTAATGATACTTGCGTTCTTATATGACTAATTGAGTGTACTTACAGTCTCAGATTTTAATCCCTATATGTGTCCTTACTTGCATGGATCATTATGCATTTTATAGTTATTGCGTGGTTCAGGGACTGGCATACAAGTTTTTGTTCTTTCAGGCATCATTGTAGGCACGTTAATATATGTAGTAATTGATGTCTATACCTTTTGCTATATATTTTCCCAGTTTTTGTTAGCAGATTTTTTCCATGTGTTTAAATTCATTATCATTTTATCTTGCTCACATAGGAACAATCTGTATTAGCTGTAACACAGAAACTGGTCCCTGCAATTCTGTTAATTGAGTCATTGTAGGAACATCAGCAGCTCCACGGAAGCTGCGCAGTACCACATAAACACAGCAGTATATCCTTCAAGGGTAAACTCTTCAGGGCAAAACCTGTATTTTTTTAAGTTTTACCACAATATTACACAAACTCATAGCTGCATCCACAGACAGAAACACACATGTTTTCACATCAACTGTTTCCACAGATCTATGCACACAGCTTCTATATATAGCACCGGGTGTGCACAGACAGCACCTCCCGCAGCGCACTTGGACTCCTCATTTTCTGTCCAGGACTGACATAATCAGGGTGGGATTCCTTTGAGCGTGGGGAGACCCTCTCTCATGCCCCTCCATCCCTTTAGTTTGTTTCATTTCCTACACAGACATCTGCTCTCCCCACCTCCACTCTCCCTTTCTCTCTCTGCAACTGCTTCTCTACACAATGCAGAATAGCACAATGTCTTTTAAAAAGCACACACACCTTCCCTGATGAGGCTAAAACTGCCCCAAACTCTATCCATTACACAACGCCATGCAAGCAGCAGAGAAGATCCGGATCAACCCTCCCCCACCTATCTTTGCTCCCATTCCTTCTAGATGCAAAGTATTTTTAATTGGCATTGCAAGCAAGACGAGAATAAAAGCAGCTAAGCTGTTCATCCCCTACCTGAGCAAGGATCTCTCATCCCCAGCTGGTGAGCAGATGGAGACAGGGAACCCAGCTGCTCTCCTTTCCTTGCACTATCAATTATTCACGTAGGTTGCAGTGTCCTCCCTCTCCCTCCCTCCCTTTCTCTTCCGCTGCCCCCACCTGCAGCTGAATGGAGATGGAGCAGGTCGGTGCTGTCACACTTGAAACTAGAGATCATTGCCGATTGAACAGCCAGCCCGTGGAGCAGCTGTGCTCTTAAGCAGAGATTTGCCCTGGCAGAAGGGGAGAGACTGGCAGCTCCAGAGGTGGAAGACAGGCAGCTCTGTACATCCACATCCTGCTCCCTGCGCTTCTAATCCCAGAACTGCAGGGATGACCTTTAAAAATGAAACAGGGTTGTTTGGTTGGTTTTTTGTTTTTGTTTTTTTCCACAGAAAAGCACATTTTTCTAGTTCTCTCAAGTATATTGACAGTTATTTGGTGACAGTGAAGTGGGTCATGCGAATTCATGTGCACAGATCAGAGTAGGAAGGGAAAGTATAAGACTGGAAAAATCTGAAACATGATTACGTAGTACTGATTTAGTCCCATAGCAAAGGCACTGGGAGAGGATAATTTAAGGGGACAGGATGACGTGGAACTTTCTGTAAATGATTTTTGGTAATCATGAGGCATGAGACTGACCTGTGGGTTGGAATGATTCTTCAGTTGCAATTTTTGTAGATAATTAAAGGATTTTTACTTGGTACCAGTCATAGGCAAAGGTAAAATGAGTTCTGGCAGACCTAGATCAAGGCATTCAAAACACTTTGCCTTTGTAGAGGGCTACTACCCACAAATGGTTGAGTGTTCTAGATCTGCCTCACAGCAAAATCAGTTTGAAATCCCAGGACAAATTAACTGCTCCATTTTGCACTGGAGTAACTCACCCTGAATCATTCCAGTCCCATCAGTTTGCTGGGGACCCTTCTGCTGTGTTATGACAGTAATTTGTTCTGTTAATTCTTCCCATGACCATAGCTGTGGCAGAGTCACCACAGAGACAAATAAAAAACCCCACCGTACAAAAGTGCTCAAACAGTAGGTCATCGTGGCTTTCCTACCCTAGTTAACTTTTCCCATCTTTTGAAAAAAGTGTCTGCAGGAATTTTACCAGAAGTAGTGAAGGGTTTCCTGAAATTACATTAAAAATAAAATGCCTAATAGAAAACCTTAGTGTTTCAACTACAATTATGAGTAAAACTCCTGAAAACCAGCAACTCTTTTTTAAGAGGGTACTGTGATTGTTTTTAATTATCTTCTTGTTTTCAAAACTTTACAGATCAAGTTTTGTCAAGCATTTCTCCACAATTCTGCAGGCTGGAAATGTTGTATTTTAAATAAAGAAAAGGTCATCACCTTTTTGTTTTCATGTGAGCATTGGAACCACCAAGTTTTATAGATGGAACAACAAATTTCCCAAAGATTTGTTTTGTGCAGTTGTTCCAGGTCCAAGATAGTTGAGTCTGCTGGAGCACTTACAAGATCCTTCTCTTGTGCTGGATCTTTGATGAGGTTCACTTTGAAACCTTTCCCTCCTTTGGATCTTTTTTCCCAGTTGACCATTTTAATTAAATTTACAGGAACCTTTTCTCTGAGATAACAGAAAGAAAAATCTGTTTGAGATAATTATCAAAGGGATAATTATCAAGTTATCAGAACATATTTTTAAGAAAATTACCAAATCAACAAATTATTTTTGAGACTTTGATACCCTAGTTTTTGTAACTATTCCAGAAGTTACAAAGGGATAATGGTATACAAGCAGAGACAGAGTGTCTAAAGTAAGTTTTATTTCTAGAAAAGTAGACTAAGAACAAGACATGGTAAAACTCAGTAAAAGTAAGAAAATCAGCAATGTAAATATTATAGAAGCAGTTATTTTT